CACAGAACAAGACTCCGTCTCAAAAAAAAAAAAAGGGTTTTGAACAGGGAAGGGGCAAGTTTCTTTCTGAGTCAGCACGTTCAGAGCGAAATAGGAGAAGCTGGGACAGGGGGCGAGGGAGTGGTGAAACACAAGTACCAGGGATCGCTGGAATCTTCAGGAGGACTTTGGTTTTACTGGACATGAAGATTAGGGGAGCTCTGCCCTTCCCTCAGTGATTTTCACATGCTGCCAAATACATTTCATTTTTGTTTTGTTTTGTTTTGTTTTCAGATTGGAATGCAGTGGCATATGATTGTGCTCACTGCAACCTCGACTTCCCCTGTCCCCTCTTTCCCCCACCCCTTGCTCAGGCAATCCTCCCACCCAGCCTCCTGAGTAGCTAGGACTACAGGTGCATACCATCATGCCCAGCTAATTTTTATTTTTATTTATTTATTTTTTTTTAGAGGGAGTCTTGCTCTGTCACCCAGGCTGGAGTGCAGTGGCACGATCACGGCTCACTGCAACCTCCGCTTCCTGGGTTCAAGCAATTCTCCTGTCTCAGCCTCCCAAGTAGCTGGGACTACAGGCGCACGCCACCACACTCAGCTAATTTTTGTATTTTTAGTAGAGACAGGGTTTCACCGTATTGGGGTCAGGCTGGTCTCGAACTCCTGACTTCAGGTGTTCCACTTGCCTCGGCCTCCCAAGGTGTTGGGATTACAGGCGTGATCCACCACACCCAGCCATCATTTTTTTTTTAATATATTTTTTTAGAGGTAGGGTCTCACTATGTTGTCCAGGCTGGTCTCCAACTCCTAAGTTCAGGTGGTCCTCCCACCTCAGCCTCCCAAAGTGCTGGAATTACAGGCATGAGCCACTGCACCCAGCCGAAAATATATTTCAAAGGGCAAATCCAACCGTGTTTTACAATACCCTCAGTCCCAAACCCAAGACACACACCTAAAGCCTTTCACTTACTCTCAGGCTAAAGACCCACCTCTTGGCCTGGCCTCCAGGGCCCCTGGAGTCTATCCCCTGCCACATTCTTCAGGTTCTCTGCATTCCAGACAGGCTGTCTTTCCCACCTCAAAAGTTTCATGCTGGGTCGGTGTGGTGGCTCACGCCTGTAATTCCAGCATTTTGGGAGGTCGAGGCAGGTGATCATGAGGTCAGGAGATGGAGAGCAGCCTGGCCAACATGGTGAAATCCTGTCTCTACTAAAAATACAAAAATTAGTAGGGCATGATGGTGCATGCCTGTAATCCCAGTTACTCGGGAGGCTGAGGCAGGAGAATCACTTGAACCTGGGAGGTGGAGGTTGCAGTGAGCCAAGATCACGCCACTGTATTCCAGGCTGGGTGACAGAGTGAGACTCCATCTCAAAAAAAAAAAAAAGTTTCATGCCCTGACCACGGGGCCTTTGTAAGTGCTATTTCCTCTAAAACAGACCCCCCGACCTTACTTAATTCATTCATCCTTCAGGGCTCAGCTACAACGTCACTTCCTCAGACAAGCTACTCTAACTTCCTGGCTGGTCATTCATCCATCATGGAATTCACCTGAACAATTACGCTGGCAAAGAGGAATGGGATGACCACAAGATGGCTTAGAATCTCTGCCTCAGAGTAACCATGACTCACCTCTGGCACTGGGCACACCCTCCCTAAATCTGTGATTCCATCTGGATCCCAAACAAATTGGGGTTCTGTTCCCGAGGGGAAAAGCAGATGACTGTTGTGTAGACAGTCGACAGTGTCCACCACATTGCCATACGCTGCACTTCCCAACCCACCATCACTTGCAGAGGAGGAAGGGGGCTATTAGACGTTTCTGGAAGGTGATGGCAGGAGCAAGAGTGAGAAGGAAGTCGCCATGCCTGGGCACTGGTCCCAGACTGGCCTGACAAGATGGGAGGTTGGGTGATACATGATGAAGCCTCACTATTGGACAGCTTGTTTTTAATACAGGTAACTGCAGGTCAAATCATGACCTCTGGGGCACACACATACCAAACACATAAATAAATAAATACACAGGAAAACCTCCCAGCTTAGTTAAGAATATGTAAGGCTTTTCGTCTCCCCTTCCAACAAAAACCTCATAAAGACTCACTTAGAGTCAGACTGATGGTGCTGTTTCAGCCAACCCGTATCCCACGCTTGCATACCTCCAGTGACAGGGCACTCACCACCTTTAATAGGAGCCATCTCACCTGGCCAGCCCCCCAATACTGATCCATAAATTAAGCTATAAAATCTAGTTGGCATATTGTTTAATAGGTACAGAGGTTTAGTCTGGGATGATGGAAAAGTTCTGGAGATGGATGGTGGTGATGGTTGTACAACAATGGGAATGTACTTAATGCCACTGAACTGTACACTTAGAAGTGGTCAAAATGGGCCGGGGGTGATAGCTTACTCCTGTAATCCCAGCACTTTGGGAGGCTGAGGCACATGGATCACCTGAGGTCAGGAGTTCAAGACCAGCCTGGCCAACATGGCGAAACCCTGTCTCTACTAAAAATACAAAAATTTGCTGGTCATGGTGGTGCTCGCCTGTAATCCCAGCTACTCAGGAGGCTGAGGCAGGAGAATCAATTGAACCCAGGAGGTGGAGGTTGCAGTAAGCCGAGATCATGCCATTGCCTGGGTGACAAGAGTGAAACTCCGTCTCAGAAAAAAAAAAAAAAAAAAAAGTGGTCAAAATGTTAAATGTTATGTGTATTTTACTACAATTAAAACACACACACACACACACACACACACACAAGCACCGTCTCTGAGGCTTCACAACTTACCAGCTGTGTGGTTTTGAGCAGGTTACTTCTTTAAAAATCTGACTGGCAGTTAAGGCAAACACTTAGGCCCACTCTCCCCTTTGATCCTGGTTTGCTTTGGTTCAGCCTCATCTCCCAAGCTCAGAAATTTGGGCTCCATTTTTAGAGCTTCAAATCCTGCCTCTTTTCTCTGTAGAGGCTATAGCCGCGGTCATCCTCGCCTGCTAGGGGCCTACTGTGTGCTAGGCTCTGAGAATAGAAGTAACGAGAAATGAGTCATAGCCTTTGTCCTCCCAGACACACAGAATAGTCGGGGAAAACGGGTCAGTCAGGTAGGTAGGTAGGTAGGTAGGTAGGTAGGTAGGTAGGTAGGTAGTGGAAACCTACCAGACTCCGGTCTCCATGAACCCCAGCCCAGCTGTGAAACTCCTGAGGACTGGCCCCTGATGACCCATGTCCCCAGATGACCTCATTTGGGTGGAATGACTGCAGCACAGGATGACACTGGTCCCTGAGCTCTTGGCATGAACAGAATGTGTGTGGGGAGCCTGTGACCTGGGAATGTCCACTGACACAGGTGGACGTGCCCAGGAAGAGGAGGCAGGAATTCTCATCTCTGAGGCCCACTCTGCCCCGGTAATTGCAGAGGAACCAAGCAATTTGGGATCAGAAAACCCAGCCAACCCAGGGCAGTCAAAATGGCGGCCCCAGGGCCATGTCAGGTCTTGTGGAGGGTGGTGGTGGTTCTTTTTTCTTTTTTTAACTGAGTCTATTGTCAATGTTTAAAAAACTGAACATTTCTTTTTTTTTTTCTTTGAGACAGAGTCTCACTCTGTCACCCAGGCTGGAGTGCAGTGGCACAATCTCACCTCACTGCAGCCTCCGCCTCCCAGGTTCAAGCAATTCTCCTACCTCAGCCTCCCGAGTAGCTGGGACGACAGGCACCTGCCATCAGGCCCCGCTAATTTTTGTATTTTTAGTAGAGATGGGCTTTTGCCATGTTGATCAGACTGGTCTTGCACTCCTGACCTCAGGTGATCTGCCTGCCTCGGTCTCCCAAAGTACTGAGATTACAGACGTGAGCCACTATGCCCAGCCACAAGTGCATTTTGGTTACATGGATATATTGCCTGGGCTTTTAGTTTAACCATCACCCAAATAACGTACATTGTACCCAGTAGGTAATTCCTCATCCCTCAGTCCCCTCCCACCAATTATTATTAATTTTTTCAGACTGGGGTCTTGCTTTGTTGTCCAGGCTGGTCTCCAACTCCTGATCTCAAATAATCCTGCCTCAGCCTCCCAAGTAAGAGCTGGGATTTCAGGCATGAGCCACCATGCCCAGCTGTGGTTACTGATTTTTCAGCAAGAGTCAGCCCTCCCCTTGAAAAGAGAAGAAGTGTCCCCAGCTGAACACCTATTGTGTACCACACACTGGGTACACCAAGCTCCTACACCCCAATCTCATCTGGCACTGGTAAACTGGGATTGTCATTCCCATTTTCCTGATAAAGACATGGAGATGGCCGGGCGCCGTGGCTCATGCCTGTTATCCCAGCACTTTGGGAAGCTGAGATGGGTGGATCACGAGGTCAGGAGATCGAGACTATCCTGGCTAACAAGATGAAACCCCGTCTCTACTAAAAATACCAAAAAAAAATTAGCTGGGCGTGGTGGCGGGTGCCTGTAATCCCAGCTACTCAGGAGGCTGAGGCAGAAGAATGGTGAGAACCCAGGAGGCGGAGCTTGCAGTGAGCTGAGATTGCGCCACTGCACTCCAACCTGAGTAACTGAGTGAGACTCCGTCTCAAAAAAAAAAAAAAAAAAAAAAGAAATGGAGATTCTACAGAGTGAAGAGGTCACAATATGGGTTAAGTACAGAGTCCAGCACCCAGCTCTGTCTGATGCCAAAGGCCAGTGGCTTTCCACCACACTCCCATGCCATCTTCCCAGGGGATGTCGCCTCTCCAGAAGTCCAGGGCACGTTCTGGAATTTCTTCAGGGAGGACCTTGGACCTTCATAGAGGTCCTTTCTCACAGCTGCCTGCTGGGGAGGCCCTGAGAACTAAACACTTCCCAGCACTGGACAGGTGACACAGTGGGTCCACAGACACTGTCACAGGTGGCCCTCATGATGGTCAAGAGCCAGGTTTTTGTTTTTTGTTTTTTTTGTTTGTGTGTTTGTTTTTGAGACGGAGTCTCACTCTGTCACCCAGGCTGGAGTGTAATAGCACAATCTTGGCTCGCTGCAACCTCTGCCTCCCAGGTTCAAGTGATTCTCCTGCCTCAGCCTCCCGAGTAGGTGGGACTATAGGCGCGTGCCATCACGCCTGGCTAATTTTTGTATTTTTAGTAGAGACGGGGTTTCACCATGTTGGCCAGGCTGGTCTAGAACTCCTGGTAACTGATCCACCCACCTCAGCCTCCCAAAGTGCTGGGATTACAGGCGTGAGCCACTGCACCCGGCCTAAAAGTCAGTTTAATTAGCTCCAACTTAGAGGAGGAAACAGAGGCTCAGCCGAGTACTCCATCTGGGACAGACCCCCTTCTGTTCCCCACAGTGGAAATTGGCAGGGCAGGAGACGTGAGTTGTGGTCCCACCTCTGCCACTCACTCTCACACCATTGGCAACTCCCCTTTCTCTCTGACTTCAGTTTCCTCACCTGCATAACAAGGAAGGAATTGCTAGAGTACCCTTGGGATAGATCCATCCCACCCTGCTGGGCCGCCTGTCACCTGTCACCTGCAGCACCATGCAGGCTCTGCGCTGCCCAGCCAGGGCCCATTCACATGGTCCATGTGAATGGTGCCCCTGCAGTTATATAACCCAGTGTCCTGCATCCTGTGCTCCTCAGAGAGGCCCGGGACATCCATGTCTTTCCTCCTTTGTGGGGCTTGGCTCAAGTTCAAGCTCTGGGCATGTCCCTCTCTTCCGCACCTCCACCTCACTCTGCTCATTCACTTTGGGGAACAGGGAAGGAGGCAGGTAGCAGAACCTGGGCACTTTTATTTGTCAATAATTGTTAAGTATAACATATATATATATATAGCGACGGAGTCTCGCTCTGTCACCCAAGTTGGAGCGCAGTGGCGCAATTTCAGTTCACTGTAGCCTCTGCCTTGTGGGTTCATGCGATTCTCCTGCCTCAGCCTCCTGAGTAGCTGGGATTACAGGTTCCCGCCACTACGCCCGGCTAATGTTTGTACTTTTAGTAGAGACAGGGTTTCACCATGTTGGCCAGGGTGATCTCGAACTCCTGCACTCAGGTGATCTGCCCACCTCAGCCTCCCAAAGTGCTGGGATCTAAAAATACAAAAATTAGCCAAGTGTAGTGCATGCCCATAGTCCCAGCTACTCAGGAGGCTGAGGCAGAAGAATTGCTTGAACCCGGGAGGCAGACATTGCAGTGAGCCGAGATTGTGCCACTGGACTCCAGCCTGGGCAACAGAGAGAGAGACTTCATCAAAAAAAAAAAAAAAAAAAAAAGGCCGGGTGCGGTGGCTCACGCCTGTAATCCCAGCACTTTGGGAGGACGAGACAGGTGGATCACGAGGTCAGGAGATCCAGACCGTCCTGGCTAACATGGTGAAACCCCGTCTCTACTAAAAAAATACAAAAAAAAATTAGCTGGGCGTGGTGGCAGGCGCCTGTAGTCCCGACTACTCCAGAGGCTGAGACAGGAGAATGGCGTGAACCTGGGAGGCGGAGCTTGCAGTGAGCTGAGATTGCGCCACTACACTCCAGCCTGGAAGAAAAGAAAGAAAAGAAGGAGAGGAGGGAAGGAAAGAAGGAGAGAAGGCCTCCCAGAATGCTAGGATTACAGGCATGAGCCACGGTGCCTGGCCATTAAGCAATTCTTAATCAAAAAGCGTTATGATTCCAATGTCAGCGATTCTATTTATAGAAACAGTGGGGATGCAAACAGCCAGTATTGAGGGCTACGTGACTTTCGGTTACGAGGAAGTGGGTCAAAGAGCAGCCTGATTAATTATAACAATATTTCTGTCCAGAATCCTTGTTAACACTGTGAGGATGGCTTCAGTTCTTCTTAACCCTGTGAAGACAGCTTCACTATTATTATCCCTATTTTACAGATAAGAAAACTGAGGCCCAGAGACATTGAAAGACTTGCTCAGGTCATTATTAATGAGATTCAAAACCAGGTCTAAGGATGTTTTTAGCCACCAGGCCTTATAATAAAGGAAATGTATCATTTCTATTAACAGATCCCGGCCAGGCATGGTGGCTCACGCCTGTCATCCCAGCACTTTGGGAG